TAGATTTAAAAAATATTCGAACTTGTCAGATTCGAATCAATTCGAATGATACAGAGATTTTGTCGGTCACAATCGCTTTTATCGAGTATCATAAATCACAATATTGATATTTATCGTGGAAAATACGAGAGCTGTCCGCCAGATTCGTTCGGACAGATCTACAACTGATATTTGTTATCGATCAAACACAGAAAACATAGATCGTGCTTGCTACTTTTCCCCGATGGCTCGCGCCGAGCGAACGAAATGTCGTAAGAAAAGTATCGCGGAGGAGAACGGGCGAAACTTGCGGTCCGCGGGCGGTTTCGAGCAGATTAGAGGGAAAATAATGAAACGGGCCGACCTGCTATTTTATTGATCGTTCGGTAGAAAGGAGACTGAAATTCTTCCTGGAAATATCCGTGATTTGATAAATCTGTTGCTCGCAGGGATTAGAGGGAAGCTGTGTTCGTGCGTGTGGAAACGTACACCGTGTAATCGTGTATTATCCTTTATTAGTTCACCTTCGATATCGCAACTGTAAACTCCCTCGATCGCGTGCGTATATCACTTATGACGATTGCACGTTTACTCCATGTCGCGCCGAACGTGTAAAATTAAATATAATAACGAAAATTGTGTATGGATGTACGATCATTTTTGCCCGCTTTAACAAACTGACACCGCGTTGAAAGCGAAGAGTAAAAAGCAACTTCCAACTTTTATCGTAATTAATGAAAAGTACTCTTGGGAAGGACGGAGAATTTTATTCACATGAGAATGTCTACATCCTCCTGTATTATAGTAATCTTTGTCTACTCGTTGTAACGCGCCGGAATCATTTTGTAAATCAAAATTAATGAATGAGGGGAAGCTTATATACAGAAATAGAAACTTTATCTTCAATCTTGAGCGTTACTCAACGTGATTTGTGGCAGAGATGGAATAATCGCGATTATTCCATTTCCATAATTAATATAATTGATTCTTTTTTTTTTTTTTTCTACAAATTCGTCTTTGTAGATACTTGACCTCCATAGTATTGCTCTACACTTTCCATTCTCGAAGAAATTGCAGGCTTCACGAGTGCAACTTGCTGCGATACTTTCCAAGGTACTTCATTGAAACTCGGAGAGGAATTAGCCTCTCGCTCAAGGTTCGAATTCTCGAGCTCCGGTTTGCTCGAAAACCTTTCAAGCAAGCGTGATATTCAAACAAGAATCGGGACACGGTATTAGGTTAGCTGCACGGATATAATTTCACGCGTGAATGATTAATTACATACTTTTTCTAAAAAAAAAAAAAAAGAAAAAAGAAACAGTCTTAAAATTAACTAAATCGCCACTCTTCTAATTTATAAACATGTTTATCATATTCAGGCGTGGAAAACAGGTTTGGCATAAATTAAATAAATTTCCCAATTTCTAAGATGTACAATTAATTCTGAAAAAAAAAAGAATGAATGATTTGTTTTTTTAAATTGTTCAACACAAAACCCAGTAATAAATTCCAAGATAAATATCGAAATCCGTCGCTCGCGATGTAATTCATATTTTTCCCGCTTTACAATTTTAAAATAACGACTTATATATATAAGCGGATCTGTATAAACGGAAACGCGCCAATCACGAAATTTATTATTGGATTTTGCTCGCGCAAAAATCTCATTGTGAGCGAATGGTTAAATTACGTAACAGTGTTTGAAATATTCGCCGCTCGAGTCGATTTATTAGGTGTTGATTATTAATCCACGCGTGGAGAACCGCACGCTCTCCGGTTTCTACTTTCCTTCCACATTTCGTGCGCCGCTTCACCCCGACAAATATGCAATGTGATTATTTCGCAACCAGGCATGTTTGTGCGCGGTTCTCCTCGTGATCATCGACGCGCGTTCGTTCAGATATCACCGCGGCGTGATATCTATGGTCACGGTGCGCGCACATGTGTGCCGTGGTTTGTGTCCGACCTCGTGCCTCCGCCACGAGTCGTCTCGAATCCACCACGTCTCTTCCCAGACCGCGTCAATGCCGGTCGAACCGCCTTGAGGACAAACTTGGTCGCTCGAACGTTTATTTCGGTCTAACTTTGTATGCAAAAATCGCCTCGAACACGTTACGGCCGATAATCGATGTTGTATTTTATACACCTCGACCTTGCTTTTCTGGTTTCGAGGAAACGATCTGCTCCGGGAGGAGATCGTCGAAGGAACACAAGTTCAACGTTCCATGCAAAAGTTAATCTCTCGTGCAAATTATATTATAAATTTTATTTATAGTTGTTGCGTGTCCCGTTCCACACCTGTTTTAATTTTGTTACGATCGTTTGTTACACGCAATTACACTAATACGAGTTGTAACGCTTAAATCGCTTCTCACGTCACGAATTCTCATCGCGAATGGAATACATCTACTTCTTTTATATGGTATTTACGTTTTCAAGGAAGGAGCGAGAAATAGCGAGAAACGATAAACATTTCTCTCGATAGCCGGTTTCGTTACGGTGATTACGGCAAATTTATTCGTCCAGCCACCGATCTCTAATTAGAAGCAATGTCGATCAAGGGCCTATCTCTGCGATACTCTATCATTAATCTGTCTTTCCCTCTCTCCGTTTCAATCAATCCCAGTTCAAAGTTGTGACAAGTAAACCCCCAAGTGTGGCGTAATGGGATATCGTCATAGAGAGAGAGAGAGAGAGTATCTCGTATCTCGGAAAATCAACGTAACGTTCTAGACACGTGGATCTAGTCAACGATTCGAATAGCTTATGAATTTTAAAGGTATGAGATATCGATCTAGAATCGACTTCTCTCGCATATGTAACGGAACTTTATAAAACAGTCAATGAGTTTATGAGTTTTATAGATAGATACGGAAATACTTTATCCATCTCGAATGAACAACAAAGTATTAATTACCTTAATGAGTCGATGTTGACTCACGAATTTTTTGATTTATCGCATAAGATTCTTCGTCTATTATATAGAGCTGTCTACGCGATCAGTTATAGTATATAATGGAGCAGCAATTAATCGCCTTGACATTGCGACAAGCGTGAAGAAAGAAATCGCGAAGCGATGACGTGTCGCGTTGCTCACCTTGCTTTCGATACAGAAAACCGATATATATATATATATAATATCTACGTAAGAACGAAGAGCCGCTCGTTCAATCGTTATTTTCGCGCGATTATTCAAACGCGATTATCCAACCCGTTCCCAAGCTCGTAGGTTGGATGAGATGATCGCGTAGCGTGTAACGATTTCGTCAGATTTTACGTAAGAATCGGATGAAAAGAGATGATCGGAAGATGGATACAAATCGGCTTTCTTCGCGGCTCGCCTCGACCGAACCGCGTGGAATTCAAGATACGAAATCGGATTTTGGTTGGTAACGGCCGAGTTTACGACACGTTTACGACACAGCACGTTCCCTTTTCAAAGCCTTTCTTCGAGCACGCGATGTCTCGTGAGCTGATAACAAGTTGGGAATATTTATCGCTTTTTGCGGAAACGGATCGGGGGATCTGTCGCAACTGTTGTTGCTCGCTCTGTCGAAACTTGGGTACAAGGGAGCAATTAACAACAAGTTGCTTTTTCAACGAGGTGAAAAAGGAACGGGAAGTGTTATTTGTCGACGTTTTCAATTCGCGTTAGAAATATTTTATACTAGAACCGAATTCTTTATTTCCTAACACTTTTGACATTTATGACTTTAATGAATCCTTACAATTCCTTCTTTATTTCTAGATTTCTTTCAAATGTATATTGTTCGTGTCGTTCGAGCACGGATCGTTTTAACGCGAAATTATCTTTTGATTCGTTAATGGGAGAAAAATATTCGTTGAGCTCGACGATGAGCATTAGTTTTTCAATTATCATCGTGTTATTCAACGAGATTCGATCGTTAAATTTCGAATAATTAAATTTTGAAATTTCAATCTGCGAAATCGACGATTTTTCTCCGTTCCAAACAAATACGAAGACACGGAGGGGAATAGAGAAATGTGCTCGAACGGATCGATTAAAAATCGAACGACTGCAATTTATCGGAGTCGAATCGTTGCGATTTAATCGTTCTCCATAATTTATCCCGGTTAATTTATCAAGTAACACTCAGAGATTCTTGCTTAACGGCAATGGAATGTTTAAGGAAGCCAAGAGCCAAGAAATGGAAAACGTTTGAGAGGAGAGATCCGAACGACCTCCTGAAACGATCTCGACCAGAGAGTGGCGACTTTATTCGATGAGTATATTCGCCCCATAAATTATATCGCATTGTTAACCGATAGAGGCTCGTAAAAATTGTCGCATGGAGAAAATTCTCCGCGTACTCGGCTCGAATCGGTCGTCAATCATTGGATCGAGGTTAGAAGTATTTTCAGACCGTCTAACGAAGCTTTCAATTCCCATTTATCGTTGTGTATAACGGAATTTAATGGGGGGCCGTTTCCGGCTTTGCAGAAGTTAAAAGTGGAATCGTCACGATTGTCTCTCATGAGGCTCGATTAAAATTAATTGAAAGGATTGCTATTTTTTTTTCTTTTTATACTTGTGTTTATATATTTTTCGAAAGTTTTTACACGGAGATTGGGAAACGGTGAAAGTGTCTAATAAATCGGATAGAGGCATAAATCGTTAATAGATTCGATAAGGGAGCGTGTAATTCGGACGTTTGAAGGGAAATTAATAATATCTCGATTGACAGGATCGGTAATTTATTTCATCTTGACAACCGTATTTCTGATGAAATATGAAAATTTGAACGTGAATAACACGGAAATATTCCCTCCCGGTCGAAAGATATCCCACTTATTTATATATTATTTATAAAGTATGATATCTATTTTGAAATTCTAAACGAGATCTATTTTGATCACGAGGGAGGCTGCGTCGATTTTTCGAATTTATATAAATCAGGGAAGGATAATTATCATTATTTTTTCATTACTTTTTCTTTCTATAAGATAAAAAGAAAATCATCCGCATTACACTAAAGATTGAATTAATCTTTCCATTTCAGACAATTCTGATTCTACTGGTTTTCACAGTTCTCGCAGTGGTTTCGTCCCAGGACTACAATCAACTGTTCGCAGGATTCGGACCTTATATTAGGCAAGCGGTAGCGATGCGAGATCCACGATCGAATAGAGGTGAATATGCTAATCCTTTTAACCCGTCGAAATCCTTCGAACCAATTCTCCCCCCCTCCAATAAGCTCGGATTCGACCAACCAGCCAGTCTCGATCGCAGTTCTCCACCTCTAAAACCCCCGTCGGAAATAATCTTCGAGAGTGAGATACGAGATTCGCGAATAATTGGCGGTTAATTCCATTTCCGCTCGAGTTGTTGACGAAGCGTGACGCTCCTGCTAAACGAGATTATTCTCGGATTCTCGTTCGAAGCCAGAAATTACGATCGATGCCGGAACAGGGAACTAATAAACGATAATTTTATAGATATCGAACGGTTATATACTTATATCTATATACACTGATAGAGAACGTTTAAACATATCGATAGTATGTGATTAGAGTAATTCGTGGAGGAAAAGGAAAGTGATCGAAACGAACTCTGAATGGATTTCTGCTCGGTCGATTTCTATTAATAATTATCTATGTTAAAAATTATGAAATTTCTTAGTGAATAAATCGATGGATAAATGTAAACGCAGTGAATATTAAATCGCACATTTAATTTAAACATGTTCAATTGATCTTGGATATCTCGTATTTATGAGCAATGTTGCGAAATAAAAAAGGGGAATGATCGTGTAAACTCCGGATCGATTTTTATTATCATATATCAACAGGTAAAATTATGCAAATTTATTCGTTATCGCATCGAAAGAAAAGAAAAAATAAAAATTTTTTAACAATCTTCAGACTAGATAGATAAATGCAAAGGAATGTTAAATTAACACGTGTAATATTTTAAACTCGTGCAATTAATTTTCGAAATTTCACATCTACGAGTTCTCGAAATCGAAGATTAATGGACGAGACGAGAGGCGCTATTTGTTGCCCTAATGAGGTATCCTCCATCTCCTCCTATTCTAAGCTGAACGTTGAAGCTTTGACATTTGTCTAGGCGCGTATAATTCGACACACGCCAGGATACGGGATCCTTGCGATCGAGTGGAACGTTTTACGCACGGAATGGGTGTCAAGTTCAAACTCACCTACAATAAATAGCGGCAGGAAAATGTTGCTGACATACCGCCAACTTGTGTTCCGACTGGTCGATTTCTTTTCAACGTGTGTTAGATAATAATTTTTCCTCGAGTGAAATAACTTTTTGCACGTAACTCTCCGCCATTCTCCATTTCCAACCGTAACAACGTCATCATCTTTCTTTCGTTGATTCTTTTTTTTTTGTCTGAAAGATCGATATTGAAAATTAATAAATTATCAGATATTATATTTCTTTTACAATTACACTAAGAAATTGACTGAAATAAAAAAAAATCAATTTTTTAAATAATATAAAACGATAGAGATTCGAAGTTAAAGAAAGTGCATAAAATTTAACAAAGTGTTAAACATCATCGGGAAGTATATATAAATAATACAATTCGATGATTATAAAAAAAGAAAAGGAAAAATTAAATATAATCTTAATTCACGGATCTTAATTCACGGTAAAAGGGAAGTGGTCTCGTAACGACGTTGATAAGTCGGAAATAAATTGGGATGGTGGAACTTCAATCGGGTCGTTCGCATTTCTTAATTAACCGGAACAATTGTGTTCAAACGTGCGCCACGAGGTTTCGTAACAATTTAATCGATAAGGATCGAGTTCGTTGCGTGCGATTTGCACCTCGAGCGCTATTTCCACAGTGGCATCGATTAATAGTCGTTCGGATCGCAAATCACTTCCCGATTCAGACAGATTGCACTGGATCTCCTTGGAAACTCGTTTATAACGAGGTACTTATAAAATTAACACTCCGTGCAGAATTGCACGGAAGATCAATTATGCGGATTCTCTGCCTTGTACAATCCGCTATTACAATTTAAATTCCTTCGTTCCAAAAAGGTCAGTTTCGAAGATGCACGAAACATTGCGAAAGATGATGAATATTTGCGTTCACGATCGTGATCGAACGATCGATCGAAACTAGACCAAGCATACATCGAAGGAACGAAATAACAATACACGGATTTTGGAATTCTTGTTAAAGGAATTGATAAACGAAATGTTATTATTTAATCATTCGTGTTCGATCTCGTAAACTTCTTTATTACATCGAATTATATTCTTTTTGTTTCTCAGAGTATCGAGTGTGAAGACGTATTCTCGTCATTTTTGTCTGCTTGTCTGTTCAAAATAATATTGAATTCAAAATGACAGTAAAATAATAAAATAGCAAAATATAACGTTCGAATAATTGAATTTTTTGGATAAATCTAAATCTTTGAACGTTATTTATATTCCATTACATCGTATAAGAAAAATACTTTCAAAAGTATCTTTCAGATCAGAAATGGCGATTTCGATCGCAAGCAACGAGCGTGGATTGTAAATTACGCGAAAAATTTCATAATTTCAAAACGATTCGTGTACTTTTGATAAGATCGCCGTGTAAAACAGCGATTATGGGGATCATCAGAAGCGTGCAGTAGTGTAATTTCATATGTTCTTCAGCTATATCGCATAGCCACGGCTTGACGAGCTCGTTTAAACAACACGGTTTATGATTTTTCATAAACGTTGCACGGGAATGGAGAATGAGTCGAGATGTCGTTTCCGATTGAAATGAAATGGAGAAACGAGAAAAGTACGTCAGATCGAATCAGTATCGAGAAGATGCGAATTTGATTCTTGTACGTCGAATGGTCGAAGAAAGACGACGTTAAAATTTTCGTTCCTCGCGAGACAACTTTCTCTTCCATGATTTCTTCGTTTATTAAAATCTTCGTTTCATATTTCATTATAACAAGAAGAATGAAATTTTTCTTCCAGGTCCGGTACTGTTTCCTCCTGGCCCTCCGCCAAATAACGAGGACACCAGCGGAGTGATAGTGGGCGCGAGTGGATACGGATTCGTGCCGCCCAACCAAGGTAAATCGTCCTTAGGATTCTGAGGAGGAATGCTTGAAGCGTGGCGCGAGAAGCGGAGTGGCGCCAAGTGTCTGCTCCTAAAATCCACCCCTCCACCAAAGATTCAACACGGCGAGCAGTAACACTTTGGGGATGACACTAACCCCGAGCACTTGTCGTCGCCCCTTGTGCACTTAACTTGTGAATAAATCGCTATTTATTTGTTGCCATCTACGTCGAACCTGCCTCCCACCTTCGTTCTTAATCTGCATGACACATCCTTCACTTACCACATGCCTCGAGGAACGAAAATTTGAACGTCATCTTTCGACTTCATTCTTACACCCAAGATCAAATTTACAGCTTCTTGATTATTTCTACGTCTTAGAGATAATGATTTTAAATTTTGAATTGCGAGGAATCATCGTGACTAAAAAGTATCTAATGGAAGATATTCCGTGATTAGCGATTGTGTCGATTCATTGAAATTTATATAATGACTCGTCAATCATTTGAAAATAATATTCATAGCTATTCACAGTTCGAAAAATATTCCTATTTACAACACAAGACGTACGTTCCGGTTTCATTTTAAACGTTAGATAACTTTCTATATTTTTTTCAATTGACGTAGATCATTCTGAACGACGATCCTGAAATTAGATTTAAGAATTGAAACGTTCGATGATTCATGAAAGGCCATTCCATTTAAATCGTGATCGTGAACTCATCAAGAGCGACGATCCTTCTCCTTGATCTCTATCGAACGTGAAATATCACGCGACGACACGGAAGATCGTGCGCAATGCTTCGATCCTATTCTCTCGACTCATCGACGAAACTTGTAAATATGAAAATGGACAACACTCTTTCAACGCTAATTTTATTATTTCACGTAGCGACGCACTAATACGATTCGTGTTATCGTACATATACGGCTAATCAGCACTTGCCCGATTCACGAATGTGTCTTAACAACACCACTAACAACACGAATCCACGCAAAAGGTATAGAAATTATCGACAATGCACAGGTCTACTATTACCACCATTTTTATCATTTATTTTGAAAAAAAGGAGGACCCTTTCGAGTCGAAAACAAACAAGAAACCACCCTTGAAATCCTGCAACCCGACAGCGTGATATTTTTCGTGAAAAATCTGTTCGATCCTCGCATAAATCACATCCGTGGAGTAATCCACGTATAAATGGAGGCATCGGGAGCTTTCTCTTCCGGGATGGATTACGATGGATCTTCCTCTCCGACTTGATTCTCGCAGCAAAAGTTAGGAATAAAAATTTTCCCTCGTCTTTCGTTATCGAATTCAATGGCGGCATTCCTCCTCGTTCGATAGAGAGAGGAAGAGAAGAGAGAGAGAGAGAGAGAGAGAGAAGAGGAATACCGGTTTCCCCGAAGAAGAGGCAACCTTGGGATCCACTTGGAGAGACGGGGGTCAGTGAAAGTGATTCGTTGGCCTCGTGACTTAAACTCGTTTACACGTAACCTCGGCTGAGCTACTTCGCGAAGCGTAACAGGTGTTACGAGGTCAGTTGGGTCGTGACGACAAAATCGTCGTTTTTGGCGACACGAAAATCGTATGTATCACTCCGCTGCTGGGGTCAATGATCCGTTCAGGGTCAAGTTCGTGGTTTTCTTTCTTTCTTTCTTCTTTTTTCTTATAATAAGAGTCTTCACTTCGGTCGTAACGTATCATATTTTCTAATCGAAAGGAAACATTATCGCGTCGAGAAAATAATATTTATGTAATGAAATATTGACAGTTCTTCGTGGATCTTGAAGATGAAAAAGAAGAAAATTAAGAAAATAGTAAGTTAATGATGATGATGAACGTTGTTCTTTAGATGCGATATACAGAAGTAATAAAAAAAAAAAATAGAATCTAAAAAAAAAAAAGAAAAGAAGAAAATCGTTCAGAAGTTTTGTACGTAATCGAGAGGAAGAATAATTTTCGTTCCACGAAATTCAATTTACATTTTTCAATAGCGTAACCCTGAAAACATTGCTAAACAGCCGCGTAACGAGGGCAATTACGAGATTTATAATCGTTAACGAGCGCAATTAAGCATCGTTAGGGACTCGTCGCTAGTTCTTTATCAACGTTGCAAATAAAACTGACTCGTTGCCGCGTATCCTTCTCTTAACGAGACCCTCGTAATGCGATTTCGAGCAATCGGCAAGTTCGAGCTGTTATTCGAACGATCGTGAATTTTTAACGGGCGTAATTTTACAAACACGCGGCCCAAATTGAGACGAGTGTTCGATCCGTGCGCAAAGAGTTCCACGAATCGCATATTATTTATATATGCTGTCATTATGAGTAATAACACTTAATCGAATAGTTAAATGAGGTCATTCGAGAAACTTCCACACCTTGCCTCTGTCTGGAATTTAATTATTATTGCAAACACTTGTCTTTTTTTTTTTTTCTTTAATTCTTTCTTTCCTAACCTTTAGTCGGCATCCGTGTCAGGGCCTCTGGACGAGAGTATCGATTATAATCTGTCAGAGAAGAGTCCAATTTTAAAGTCTAACCTCACACTCTGATTTGAGAGTGTTATTTTTCTAAAATTTTAAGTTTCTGCTACTCTCAAATCTCTGCGATTCTAAAAATTTAGTGCAATCCTGGTTACCACTTGTGCCATAGCTTCCAATAACGAGTCGTTGATTTTTATTACGAAACAATTATTGTAATAAAAAATAAGACTGTTCACATTTCAATCTACGTGTAATATTCGCGCGCGTGGACAAAGGGGATGGATGAAAAATTTTTTCGAAAAGAAATACGCGTTCGTAACAACCGGTTACCAAGAATCATAGAAGATCCGCAGAAATAATATCCATAAACGTTCAGTCGGTTTTCGATTGTCCCTCCAATCTATCCGAACAATAGAACGGAACATCGTTCGCAATGGTTCGTTCGAGATAAGCGGATAGAACGTTGGAACTCGAGAATAGAGAAATAAATCTGCAGCTTTCAACAGCGTCCAGCGTCAGTTATGGCCACTGTATATCTTTTGTTCATTAATGCCTGTATACGGTCACTGGATGGAGCGTAAATCACCAGAAATTGACGGTTGTGCCTTGTCCACGGGAAACGCGTTAAAAGTTCCTCAAAGAGATTGACTGGCCAGATAACCGCGTGAAAAGCAAGAGTCGAGGACCCGTTTTTCTTTCGACGGCGAAGGCGGCTCGTTAACAAACGTATAAAGATGGTCCGTTTCGACATTGTCTGCGCGTTATCGAGCCCTCCTCTTCGCTCGCGGAATAATTGCGCGGAAGGGGCGTAATTACGGGGTAGAAATCGGGGACAAATCCTCCTCCTCCTCCTCCTCCTCCTCGATAGAGGAACGATTTAGGTGTTAATGATACAGTTCTCTGCGAGCGGCTGCCAGTGAAAGCCAGCGATCGTCTCCGAATGTCTATGATCGACAATTGATGGTGTTGGTCTCCGGGGGGGAGAGGAAATAAGACACTTAGCCGCACGTGTTCCTAACTAGTAGCAGAGCGATCGTTAAACTTGAACCACGCACGATTTCACCTTCGGTTTATTATTCTTCTTTCGTATTGTGTGCATCGTATGTTTTCGTTAACATCCATTTCGCGCGAATTCCCCTCGTATTTTCATATTTCAACGAAAAATCGATAGAAGTTGAAAGGAAAAAGAAAAAGAAGAGAAGAGGTCTGCGCTCTCTCCAGTTGTATCACGAGGGAAGGGTTGAATTTACGCATAGGCAGATAGCCAGGCGCCCCTTGGACTGCCTAATGGATCCCTTCTCCTTCCCTGTTGGTTGGTTAACTTTATTGTCAGCGCCGCGGTCGGCCGCAGTGTCGGAGGCAACGGGCAGAAAAGCGAGCACTTAACGTGGTGAAAGGGAGAGGAGAGGATATCGGTGGAAGGGTGACGAGGGTCCTGTAATTAGCAGCTTTGAAGCGGTCCCGTGCCTGACTTCTCATTACCGACGGTCACCTGATTGCTCGCGGAGCTTTGCCGCGCGATTCTTGGCGAAATTATCGCGCGTGATCTCGAGCGGAATGGAACCGCGTCTCCGGACGAGGAAGGGAAACGACGAAGTTTCGAACGTTTCGAGATCCTGTTCCCCTGGTGTGGTGTCCGCGAAAGTTTGACAGGGTCGAGGGTCGAGGGTCGAGGTAGAAACGCGGGGGTTGGTGCTGTGCAATTTGGGTGAAATTTAACGCTGCCCCAGAAAGAAATTTGGGAGAATTTTATTTTGAGAGGGGATGCGTTTGGTTCGACGAGTTGATTAAATTTGGGAAGGGGAGAAAGTGAATTTGATCGATGATAAATTTTTTTTGTTTTGTTGCAGCTTTCTATAGGTTCTTTTACTATTAACTACGAACGAAGGATTATCGGAAGGTTGCTGCGTCATCGATGGGGAAGCTGTACGGTAGAGAGTTCTTCTCGAGAATATGGGAAACCGAAGGAAAGGAAGTATCTAGGAGCCACCAACTTTGCATCCGTCCTTGTATTATACGAATCTCCGCAGTGGCTGGATATGTTTCAACACCACCCAGGAGCGCCCTTATATTTGTATTATAAACAATCATTATATCGAACTAATATATCGTTAATGTTTTCTACGACTAGTCTCTCGATATAACGCACGATGAAACCTCTCGATCGACAACATTCGTTACGCTTTAAATAAAAAGAAAAAAGAAGAAGAAGCTAAAATCATCCTCCATTTATAAAACGTTTTTTGTTCTGTCTAAGAACAAATCTACCATCTAATAAGATCTACATTTGACTGAAAGCCTGCTAAGAAACGTATTTTACGCTTCAACATTTACAATCCACCGTAAGGATCGTAAGATTGTAATCTCCGCACAATTTTCCTCGAGCATAAACGTCGGATTAGAAATCGGCTGGAGGAGGATCGATCATGCTCGTTCATCGTGACCCGTTTAAGAGACGCGTGAAATTAACCAGTCGTGGATATGCTAACTTTCCTCCTCCTATCAATCTTGATACACGATCGAC